GATCTACCCAAGCTATAGATGAAGGAAGAAACTGAAGAAAGGGACACAGAAAAGGCTAAGTGAGGAGAATGGGTGAGGGAAAAATCAGAATTAATGAATGTTCCTCTTTGTGTCTCCTTTCTTTCAGAGTGGAAGAAGGCCCTCTTCCAAGCTGGTGAGTGAATCACTGTACATCCCCTAGGACAAAAACCCAAGGGACCATATTCCCTTTTTCTTTTCCACTCTTGAGATTCTGGGACAGCAAGTCCCTGGGACTGGGAGAGTTCTAGTTGGAGATCTCAGTCTCCAGCAGCCTTCCGCTGAGTACCCAGAGAACTGGGGAGAATTGCTCTCCTGGGCTTCCACAGATCTTTATGGGAAGGAAGAGGCATCAACAATGGAGGTGAAGGCAAGGACAGGCAGGGTGAACTAATATTGCAGTGAGAGTGCAGATGCAACATGAGCAAGGAAAGAAAGCAATGCTCAAAGGTCATGTCCTTTCCCAAGGTCCATATGCCACCTCTTGCCACTGTGTGTCCTCAAGTTATTTGATGTTTTGAGCTTCAGTCTCCTCACTTGTAGACAATGATTGTTGTTGCTATTCATGTGAGAGTTGAGATAAAGACTAAATGAGTTAACGAATGTGTACTTGGTCAAAAAGTCAGGAAAAAAGAGATGGTATATTCAAAATGGGTGGTTGAAGAGGGCTTAAAGAATAAACTATTTACAAAGGGAAGAAAGAGAGCAAAGGGAAACCGATGAAGGACTATTCAGTCCCCAAGGGTTCACAACAGTCGGGTGCTGTCACCATGCTGGACCTAAAGAGAAGGGGAGGAGAGCGTTTGGCCCCCAGGAACCTGTAGCTCACAAAGAGGGCAGCCTGAGATGAGTCATCCCCTTGGTCAAGCATCACCCCCTGAAGCTGGCAGGGAAGAAGGGGAGGAGGAAATAAATGCCGTGCCTCTCTTCTTGCTCCTTCCAATCTTCAGCTAGTGCCTCCCACTGACCAAACCCAACAGGTGACCAGAGGCAAGGGAGCCCAGTGCCACTGTCCAAAAAGGACAGATTTCCGGGGTCCAGAAGAGGGTGGAAGAACATGGAGAGTAGGTCTGGGAGCACATGAAGCCCTCAACATAATGCCCCTTAGCACAGAAATGGACTGGCAGCTATTAAAACATCAGGGACTTCTTCCATGCCTGGCCCTGAACCAAATACACAACGTGTGTTATCTTCTACTCTAAAGATTAGTAATTTTTTTAGCCCCATTTTTCAGATAAGAAAGTTGAGGCTTAAAGTATTATATAGCTTGGGTCAATGGAAAAAAGAGAAAAGACATTCACTTCATGAGTGGTAGCACAAGGATTGAAATGTAAGCCCATATGCCTAATGGAGCATGAGCTTCCCAGGTGGCACCAGTAGAAAAGAATCCACCTGCTAATACAGATCTGGGTTTGATCCCTGGGTCAGGAAGATCCCCAGCAAGAGGGCACAGCAAACCACTCCAGTATTCTTGCCTGGAGAATCCCATGGACAGGGGAGCCTGGCAGGTTACAGTCCACTGGGTCACAAAGACTTGGACACTACTGAAGTGACTTAGCAAGCATCTACGCCTATGAAGTACAGGTGGGCAGAGTCACTTCAGGGAGAGAAACAGAAAAAAGGTAGCTGGAAGGAGGCAGCTCTAGATGTTCGTTAAGCAGACCCTGATGCTCATCACTTTCCCCTTTCCTACTGAACACAAGCCCCCTAGGGCTTTCCTCTGGTGTTGCGGAGAGGGTCACATTCAGGGCAGGCTGTGGGCCCACCCCTGGACTTGGGCTTCCTCAACCAGACCCAGGGCTTGAGGGCTGAGGCTCTGAGATCTAGGAACAATGGTTCACCCACAATCCTGCCCCCCAAACTTTCTGCAGAGGATGTGATTTTGGATCCCAACACAGCAAACCCCATCCTGCTCGTGTCTGACGACCAGAGGAGCCTGCAGCGGGCAGAGGAACGCCGAAATCTGCCAGACAACCCCGAGCGATTCGATTGGCACTACTGTGTGCTTGGCTGTGAGAGCTTCACGTCAGGGAGACATTACTGGGAGGTGGAGGTTGGGGACAGGAAAGAGTGGCATGTGGGGGTATGCAGGGAGGACGTGGAGAGAAAATCCTGGATTAAAATGACCCCGGAGAATGGCTTCTGGACTATGGGGCTGTCTGGTGGGAATGACTACCGGGCTCTCACTGAGCCCCGGACCAAACTGACAGTTGCCAGCCCTCCTGAAAAAGTGGGGATTTTCCTGGACTATGAGACTGGTGAGGTCTCCTTCTATAACGCCGTGGATGGATCTCATATCTACACCTTCCCGAACACCTCCTTTTCTGGGCCTCTGTGGCCTGTTTTCAGGATTTTGACCTTGGAACCCACTGCCTTGACCATTTGCCCAGTGTCAACAGGAGCAGGGAGTCCTGGGGTTCCTGACCTAGTGCCTGACCTTTCCTTGGAAACCCCAGTGGTCCTGGGCTCAGCCGACGAGAACGGAGAGCCTCAGGCTGAAGTCACATCCTTGCTTCTCCCTGCCCAGCCTGCAGCTGAGGGTCTCTTCCCTGACAGCAGTGACAAATCGCAACCATAAAATGCTAAAGGCACACACAGTGTGAAGCACTCTACTAATATTCATACAGTTATTTATTCTATATGGACAGTTAAGTTTGATACCACTTTATTGTCTCACTTCCTAGAGGTCACTCAGCTAGTAACTGATGGCTGGGCATTGAATAATAAAACATTTACAGATGATTTACAATGTACTGGGTGTTGTGCTAAAAGCTTTAAATGTTTTTTGTTTTGTTTTGTTTTAGCTTTAAATGTTTCACTACTCATAGCAACCCTATGTCACAGCCTTATTTCAAAAGTGTGGAAACTGAGGCAGGGCCAAGTTAAGCAACTTACATAATTCATCAAAAAGTCAGTGCTGTTGGGGCACCTGTCCCCCACCTCTGTCCCCTCTACCCCTAGCCTGTTTTCCAGCCCGATTGCCCCTGTGAGGGAGGGACCATGTGCAGCCCTAAGCATTCCAGGTTAACAATCACTGTAGGTGCCTATGAAAGCCACACCCGACTTGGTTCCTTCAGGGTTAATTGTCACAGCTATAGTTCCAGCACTTCATTGGCTTAGCTCGTCAGGGTGACTTGGTCCAGAGAATGAATACACAGGAGTGCAAAAGGACTAAAGGCCAAAGTCTTAACTACTAAAGGGCATGTATGCCCTGCTTCGCTCCTCCCCTGTCAATGTGATGTGCAATCCGGGAGCCAGAACCAATCCTCCTGTGTTCAAGGTGTCTAGAAAACCTAACTTAATACCTAAAGATTGTCTGTAGAACAAGAATTTGGGAGGAATGAAACCAGATGAACTGTAGTGGTATTTTTAATCCCACAGTAGAGTCCATTTTTAGCAAAGGGATATTTCCACACTTGATCAGTTATTGATGTTAATGGATGTTCCTTTCAGCTGACGGGTACCAGGCAGAAGTTACTCTTCATCATCATCACTATTTTGTTCACCAATGGATCCCCTCTATCTGACATGTGGTTGTCAAGTTACATTTGTTAAATAAACATGTTAATAATCCTCACTCTTTAACTGAATCTTTTCCAGATTTTAAGCCCCTACAAGTTTTACAATTCATCTCACAATATTTTCACACAATCCTCCTTGTATTAGTTTTCTATTGTTGCAGTAATAAATTGCCACAAATTTTGTGACCTAAAACAGAAATAAATTTATTATCTCACATTTTTGGAGGCCAGAAGAGCATCATGGGTCTCACTGGGCTAAAATCAAGGTGCCTGCAGACTGTATGCCTTTCTGGAGGCTCTAGGAAAGAATCTTTTTCCTTGCTCATTCAAATTGTTGGCAGAATTTAGTTTCTTGCAGTTGTAGGACTGGGGTGGTCATTTCTTGCTGGCTGTCAGCCTAGGGCTCTTGCCTGCTTCTAGAGGCTCCCACATTCCCTACCTCCTGGTCTTCTTTCTCCATCTTCAAAAGTAGCAGTGGCAGATTGAATCCCTCTCCATCTTGGAATCCACCCTGGATCTTCTTCCACTGGATCTATTTGACTCTCCTGCTTTTTTCCATTTTTAAAGAATTTATGTAATGAGATTGTGTCCATCCAGATAATCCAAGATAATCTTCCTATGAATCCAGGATAATCTCTCTACTTTAAGATTCATAACCTTAATTCCAACCTGTAAGGTCTCTTTTTGCCATATAATGCATCATAATCAGAGGCTATAAAGACTATGGTGTGAACTCTTCAGCCTAGCACACATAGCCATGGCCTGGCTCACTCTGAAGGAAGTCTCTATTCTGTACATGCTAAGGGCCTCCATGATTGGAGATTCATTCCTGTGACTCAACCAGAGGGACTCTTTTCAGAAATTTAATCTATAGTTGTTCATTCAGTTACTAGACCCAGGTATGTATGTAAGTATGCCTTTGCAGAAAAGATGATTCTCCCTGTTGATGATGTCTGATGAAATTTCTACTGATCTCATCTCTTAGTTCTGGTTCCCCAAATCTGACTCTGAGTCAAGGATTTTGGATCAGGTTGTCTGAGATGTAATCCCAGGAAACGCAAGTTCGAAAATAAATAAAAAGAGAAAGCCAACTAAAAGAAAAATGACATAAAGGGTACATTAATCAGTTGGTTGTCATGTGGCAACGGGGCTCCATCCCATCCATCCAGCACCAAGAAACATGTGAAACTGAGATGTGCTATGCTGACATCATCACCTGCCCACACCCCAACCACTGAACACACACACACACACACACACACGCCCACACACAAATGGGGAGGCCTCGCCTGGTGATTACAAGCAACGCCAAAATTCTTGGGGAAATCTCAAGGCTTCAAAAGAAAAAGGAAAGTATCACGCTTCTGAAAAAAAAAGAAAAATTATTAAAAGGCTCTGCACAACTCTAAGATTTCAATTCCAAAACTGTTTCTGTGTGTTCTGCCCAGTAACTGGTGAGAAAGCAAGCTCAGGGATGCCATTGGCTGGCTGACCCACAGTCGGCTCTGAATCATTCATTGAAAATCTTGTGACTTTGTGACCACCAAGTGGACCGGGACCCGGGGCCCGCAAGCCCCACGCCGCCACTAACAGGAGGCGAAGAAAAGTTTTTTTCTCCGCTTTCCGGAGGGTGGTGAATGTGCCCATGGGCGAGTTTAGGGGAAAGAGGGACAGCCAGAGAATCATTATTTGAGCGGAGGGAGGAGAAAAGAAAACGCAGAAATTAATTCTAGAAGGTAAGAAGGGGAGGGGATACGCGACCGCTAGGGGTGGGGCAGAGGTTGGGAGGCGGTAGATGGGAGGAACAAAACCCAATAAGGGGAAAGGCGGGGACCCGGGGAGGGGAGGCTTCAGGGGGCGAGGGTGGACTTATCTTGCCGTCTAGCCTGAATCGCTGGGAGGAGAAAAAGGAGGGAGGGTTTGGAAGAGTATCAAGTGACGTCTGAAGAAACTCATCTCTGGCTGGAAAAGTGAGCCGAGGAGAGGGGAAAACTGCCTTCCAGATCGCTGTATTGTTGACCATTCCATGCAGTGTTTAAAGGATCAATCTATCGGGAAATACCTGAACCGGGAGTCGAAGGGGGCGGCCCAGGACGGAAGCTGGGGCGCGGATGATACCAACACGGGTTACAGGAAAGTATGACCTAGATCAGAACTATGGTGCCAAGTCTCCTTGGCTGATTCTCCACATCTCTCTAGGTTTCCCGTCGCTGCCTCTCCGGGTGACACCTCTTGGATGCTTATGGAGCCAGTTGCGTCTCTGTGTTTTTCCCTGCCAGGCTTCCTTCTCTTCTTCCACTTCCTCAGCTCGTTTGCACCGGTCTCAGGTAGGGGTGTACGCCACTAACTCCTATCAACTTCTCAGAAAGGAAAATCAACACTTAAGTCTGCAAAGGGTATAGAAGGGCTGCGGTTGTGCACACTCACCCTTTCATTCTGCACACAGTCATCAAATGGATCACAGTCATCAGATGGATCCCAGCGCACTCCAGTAGCGTGAGAGCCAGATAGACAAGCTGTATATGTAACTTAAAAATCCTTAGTAGCTACATTTTAAAAAGGAAAAGGAAACCAACCGATGAAACAAACTTTCATAAAACATTTTAACTCCAAATAACCAAAGTATTATTATTTAAAATTTTAATTAATGTAAAATATGAACAATGAGATGTTTAACTTTTGTATTCTGAATTTTCAAAATTGTGTGTATTTTACATTACAGCACACGCCAATTTGGGACTAGCTAGTAGTGATCACACTGGACAGCTAGAGTTGATATCCTATACCCCAGGCACTGTGCTGGTTTGGGAAACAGAAGAAAACCTCTGTGAGCTCAGGGTTCATGAGGGGTGATCAGGGTAGGCTTCTCAATGTGTTGTTCATGAAGCATTAGTACCCCCAATAGACACCCCTACTAGGAGGCTTTTTTTTTTTTTAACTACTGACCAGCCACATCCCTTGGTCCCCAGAGTCCTCAGTCCAGGAAGCCCCTGTGGCCTTAGGGAGAACATGTCTGTCCCCTGGAACACCCAGTTCCTCTCCTGTCTCAGAGAGTTGATGGCTGGTGCCCTTGTCTGATTCTACCGCTTTGTGTAACAGTCCAGTTTACTGTCCTGGGACCAGCTGATCCAATCCTGGCCATGGTGGGAGAAGACGCCACGTTACGCTGCCACCTGTCACCTGAGAAAAACGCTGAGGACATGGAGGTGCGGTGGTTCCGGACACAGTTTTCCCCTGCGGTGTTCGTGTACAAGGGCAGGCGGGAGAGAACAGAGGAGCAGATGGAGGAATACCGGGGAAGGACAACTTTTGTGAGCGAAGATATCAGCAAGGGGAGCGTGGGGCTGATCATACACAACGTCACCGCCCACGAAAACGGCATCTACCGCTGTTATTTTCAAGAAGGCAGATCTTACGATGAGGCCATCGTGCTCCTGACAGTGGCAGGTGCGTGCTTTCATTTTGTGAGCTGCTTTTTCACAGCCTGACTCTTCGGGAAAGTTTTTCTCCTCACTCCAGGCCCCCTGCAGTTCAGGGAATTTGGGGCCTAGAATTCCCTATAAAGAGAGAGGGTGGCTTTTCCCTCCTCGAGGGCTCACTGAATGGGTTTGCTCTGCTACTGTGGATATCGGCTCTTGAGACACACACAGCTGTCATCTTGAGCAGGGGCAAATGATTAATCCCTACAGATTATTCTTATGCCTACTTCTGAGAAATCTCTAAGCATATTTCTCAGTACCATGTTTTAGAATTAGACATTTTTATTGTTAAATAGAATTTGTTGTTTAGCCTGTGTGTTGTGTCCAACTCCTTGTGACCCCCATGAACTGTGGCCCACCAGGCTTCTCTGTCCATGGGATTTCCAAGGCAAGAATACTGGAGTGCGTTGCCATTTCCTTCTCCAGGGGACCTTCCCAACCCAGGGATCAAACCTGCATCTCCTGAATTGCAGGTAGATTCTTTATCACTGAACCACTTTGGGAAGGCCCATTAAACAGAGGACTCATGCAGAAAAGCTCGTAGAACTTTAACCTACAGATTACTGAATTATTATGAGCTACAACCACTCCTCATATCAACAAATAGGATACTGCCTTCTACTGACAGTGTCAGTTTTCTAGGGCTGCCATGACGAAAGGCCACGGACTGGGTGGCTTAAATAACAGAAATGTGTTTTCTCACAGTTCTGGAGGTTGTTAAGTCCAAGATCAAGCTGTCAACAGGTTTGGTTTCTCCTGCAGCCTCTGTTCTTGGCCTGCAGGTGGTTACCTTCTTGCTGGGTCCTCACCTGGTCTTCTGGGTCCTAATGTGGCCTTTGCTCTATGGGTGTGCATTTCTTGTAACCCTGTGTGTCCTAATCTCTTTTTATAAGGACGCCAGCAGATTGGATCAGGACCCACCCTAACAGCCTCATATTGACTTAATTACCTCTTTAAAAGCCCTGTCTCCAAATACAGTCAAGTTCTATGGGACTGGAGGTTAGGGATTCAGCATAAAAATTTTGTAGGGACACAGTTCAATCCATAATGTGCCGCTTTTCAAAATCCCCAGCTGAGACAGGTTCCTAGGAGTAAAAGTGCTGTATAATGAGAAATATTTATCTTCATCCTTAATAGATACTACGCATTTGTTTTGCAAAGTGTTTGTACCAGTATACACTCTCACCCATCATATAGGATGCGCCACACCTTTTTCATTAAGTCCAAAGAGAAGTTTTTCACATGTGACTTCAATCTATTTTTTCTTTCTGGTAAACTATTTTCTATGACTGTGAGGATCAAATACCATTCTTGACACTTTTCACTTCCTCTCCCTTCCCTGCATTTTGCCTTGGGACATATCACCATCTTACATAGTATGCATTTTACTTATTTATCCAGATTATTATGTCTTTTCCACTAAAATGTAGTTTTCATAAAGGGTTGTTCTCTTTTTTGTTCTTGCTGTATCCACATCTTTAGAACTGAACCTGGAGCTTAACAGATGCTCAGTAAATATTATTGAAGGAATAAGTGAATCTACTCCATAAAGCTGTAAGTGGTCATCACATCATACCTGAGCTATCTCTATTCTAAGCCTGAGATCTATTTTATTTTTCACCTTTCCCCGTGAGCCTCTTACCAGTCCATGCTTTTAATCATCTTTGACATATGCTTTAGTCAGGATCATTGAGCTTATGCTCTGGTCCAAGCAGCCCTCAAATCTTAGTAGGTTAAATCAACAAAAATCTATTTCTGACACATGAAGTATATCCTTCAAGAGTCTGGTGGGGCTCTACTTCATACAGACCTGCCTGGAACTTTATGGTTCACCTTGGCAGAGGGAAAGAGAGCTTGGCAAATTACGGTAAACATGACCCTGGCCTGGCCTACCCTGCTCTCAACTGAGTCATTGTACAATTTTTTGTTTGTTTTACTGGTTTTTGGGTTTGGTTAATTGGCTGGCTGGTTTTGTCCTTAGATCTGTTGTCTCATACTTGCCCTTACTAAACCCCCCTGAAACATTTTGTAGAATTTCTTCCCAAGTTGCTGAATTCTTTTGAATCTTATCCCACTTCAGAGTTTCCGTGCCAGCCTTTCATTCTGCAACTAGTTGTTTTTTTTTCATTTTCCATCTTGAAAAGATCAAATTGAGGAAGAATCAGTAAGACTTAAGTGAGGTTTAAGTTTGTCTTTGGTATAATTTGTGGAAGGTGAATATCTCTGAATTGGGGCATCAGGCCTGGTTTTGCACGCTAGCTCTGTCAATTCTCCTAAAAACCAACACCTCCTTAGGATTATCAGATAGCTGTGGTAATGTGAAGCCCTAAACCAGGAGAAGAGAGACAGTACCTTGAAGTCAAAAAGTTTCTTAAAATTCTGCCAGCCTGGCAGGTTTCTGTCCTTATTATATTGAGCTAAAATTTCAAAAAGCCAGAGCTGCTGAGAAGTCCCCTCAGGGAAGAAAGTAAAAGCCTAGACCTGTTTGTTTCTGATCAGAGTGGACACACCCACCCAGAAGTGAGAAAATTAAAATCTCTAGCTGAATGAATCAGTCAACCTTTATTAGGAGGCAGATAGATGCTTGCTCATGTGATGGAGTCCGTAGGGAAAGCCCAAAGAAGAGTGCAACGTAAGCATTTCCCCTCTTAGAGATCTCACAATTTTTTTGCACATGTTCACCTCCTGGTGTTCAAAATCAAGGTTTTCTTCCTTCCTTTTTTGCTTACTGTCTTCTTCCTTCCTTCTTTCATCCCTCCCTCTTTCTCCCTTCATAGAAGAGAGTGCATGGAATGTGCCTAATCATTTTTTTCTGGACACCAGCCTCTTGCTTTCTCACCTCTTCATCATTAAGAGGTGCTCTCCTAAGACATTTTGGCTAAGACAGCATTACCTCTTTCACTGAGCCGTGGTCTCTCTCTCCAGGTCTGGGCTCAAAACCTGTTGTTGAAATGAAGGGCCACGAGGATGGAGGCATCCGGCTGGAATGTACATCTGCAGGGTGGTACCCAAAGCCCCATGCTGTGTGGAGGGACCCTCATGGTGAGACCATGCCCCCCCTGGAAGAGGCCTACACTGTGAGTGCAGATGGGCTCTTCCTGGTCACCGTGGCTGTGATCATCAGGGACCATTCGGTGAGGAACTTGTCCTGCTCTGTCAGGAACACCCTGCTCAACCAGGAGAAGGAAACTGTGATTTTCATTCCAGGTTAGTTCCCTGCTCCCTAGAGGCTCATTTCTTTCTTTCTTTCTTTTTTTTTCCCTGGAGGCTCATTTCATCGAGGCAGGATGCTCAGCAGACAGATTGGAGCCCAGCAGGGGGATGGGGAGGTAGGGTGGTGGGTAGAAGGATCCTGAGCCCTGAAGAGCTGGAAGCTGCAGCTGAGCTGAGGCCCCTCCTTGTCATAAGAGGAGAATCAAGTCGTCTCAAAACACAGGGGTAGGAAGCCTCCTTAAGGATAAATCTGATAGTTGTTTGATTTTTTTCTTTTTTTTCCTCTTTCATGGTCCTTATCCTACAGCAATTTTCAAACATTTAGAACAGTCCTAAAACAATGGATGATGGTGTGGGTGGGTGGTGTCTGCTGAAGCCCTCCCTTCTTCCCCATGAGATTTCCCAAGGGACAGTGCTGAAGAAAGTCTGTCTATAGACATTCATAAATGCATTAAAGAAGTACTAAACAAGTATCTCATATGTTCAAGGTACTGTTCTCAAAATCGAAGATAAATCAGTGAACAACATACAAGAAGATGCCTGCCCTCATGGGTCTCACATTCTAGAACACCAGAGGACAATAAGTGAAATCATTAATTCAAACAAGGAGTGAAGTAATTAAACTGTGGACTGTATCAGATAGTGATAAGCATTGTAGAAAAATATTAGGGAGTAAGGTGATAGGGAGTGTTAGGGACATGCGTGCTTGTGTGGTCAGTCACTTCACTCATCTCCGACTCTGTGACCCTATGGACTTTAGCCTATAAGGCATTGTAATTGTAAATGGAATGATCTGGGAAGGCTTCAGGGGAAAAGTGGCCGTTGAGGAAGTGAGGAGTGAGCCGTGCACAGGTGTTTGAGGACTGAACAAGCCAGGTGGCAGGAACAGCGTAGACACAGGGCTGAGTCAGGAGCTTATCTGACAGTTTTCAAAGACCCCCCTAAGACACAGATATGATTGGAATGAATTGGGCCAGGGAGAATTGGAGGAGATGAATCCAGAGAGGCCATGGGTCTGGATCGTATGGGGCAGTGTAGGACACAAGTGAACTTTGGCTTTTAGTTTCAATGAGATAGGAAACATTGCAAGGTTTTGAACAAAGAAATAACATGATCTCACTTAGGCTGCTGTGCTGAGGACAGACAGCAGACGGGCAGAAGGTATGGACAGAAGCAGGGAGAAAGGTATTGTAATGTTCCAGACAAGAAGGGATGGTGGCTTATATCACATGGTGGCTGTACTGATTCTATATGGCTGGTTAGCTTTTAGTCAGCCTGGTCCCACCCATGGTGATTCAAGGTGTTACTTGCTTTTTTATCTGCTGAGCCCCCAATCCTGGCAATCACTGTGGGGTGAGCCAGTGCAGAGTCGAAGTTTCTTTCCCTCGCTGGGGTTTCTCAGAGAGAAGCTGGTGGAGCAGGGACCTGAGAGAGCTCTTCACATCTGTGCCAAGGGGCTCTCATTCTGGAGCTCCTTTTTCTCAAAATCCTAAATAGGATTTTGGGGCTCCCTTTTCAGAATCCTTTATTCCCAGAACATCTCCCTGGATGGTGGCCCTGGGTGTCATCCTGCCCTCTCTGCTTCTCCTCATTGCTGGGAGCATCTATCTCATCAAGAAACTCCAGCTGGAAAAAAATATTCTGTCCATGCAAAAAGAGGCTGAAAATGAAGAGAAAGAAATTGCACATAAGGAACTGGAGAAACAACGTGAGGAAAAAGAGAAAGAACTCCAAACAAAAGGTAAAAGAGTAGGAGTTGTGTCATAAAGGACACAACTCGGACAGCTAAAAGCCTGGGAAACAGAGCGGGCATGAATAAAAGCAGCAGCAAGGGCTTGGAACTCTCACATCCTAGTAATGAATCCCTCAGACCTGACTTTCTTCCACTCTGCAAATGCTGCATCCATTCACCTGCCCTATGTTGTTGAACAAAAGCAAATCTAAATAAGTACTGATAGTATCTAGCCACCTGATCATATATCATTTCTGGTATCTTGACAGCTCCGTAGGCAGTGGGGGAGGAGGATGGTGGTATTCATAGAAAAGATCAACTTTTCGTTATTTAAGACAAACTCAGATTTTCTTAGTTCTTCTCTTAAAGACATTCATTTGTTTCTATTTCTTTTTCAGAGCAACTTCAAGAAGAATTGCGTAAGTTTAGCATTTCCTGAACTACTCCCTGAATGATTTGAATTCTGCTCGGTTAGCCATTATCTCATGAAGTTCGTCTCTCTGCCTGTCCCACTGCAGGATGGAGAAGAAGCCTCTTACATGCGGGTGAGCGCCTCTAACAGTCCCTGGGATCCTGAGCTTTCTCCCCACCAGGCAGCCAACAGGATGCATTAGAGGAGCAAGGGGGCCCAAGGCTGGCTGGGGAAGCGGGAGCCTGGGATCAGTGCACTAGCAGGATCCCACCCAGTGCTGGATTCTATCTCTGCTGTCAGGGATACTCCACAGGTCTTAACCAATTCTATAGTTTACTCCTGACCATCCTTTCCTTTTTAGAATAATTCCATCCATAATCCGGAGAAGGCAATGGCACCCCACTCCAGTACTCTTTCCTGGAAAATCCCATGGACGGAGGGGCCTGGTAGGATGCAGTCCATGGGGTCGCTACGAGTCCGACACAACTGAGCGACGTCACTTTCACTTTTCACTTTCATGCACTGGAGAAGGAAATGGCAACCCACTCCAGTGTTCTTGCCTGGAGAATCCCAGGGACAGAGGAACCTGGTGGGCTGCCATCTATGGGATTGCACAGTCAGACATGACTGAAGCGACTTAGCCGCAGCAGCAGCATCCATGATCACCAAAGGTCTACCATACACAGTGAGTGAGGGAAGTCGCTCAGTCGTATCCGACTCTGCGATCCCTTAGGCATAGCCCGCCAGGCTCCTCTGTCTGTGGAATTTTCCAGGCAAGAATACTGGAGTGGGTTGCCATTTCCTTCTTCAGGGGATCTTCCCGACCCAGAGATCAAACCCGGGTCTCCTGCATTGCAAGCAGATTCTTTACTGTCTTAGCCACCAGGAATGCATAAACACTGAAGCTGCCGAAACCCAGAAAACCATACATAGAAGAGCCCCCCAAAAGTTACATTTTAGTAGCCGTTGTTCTCTGAGTCCTGATTAATTTGAAAGACGATGATACTGTCTTAGCTGCCTCTAACGTGGGAGATGGTATATAGACTACACAGTGGAAGAGCCATGTGTGGGAAAGGCAGTGAACTTCCCAGGCCTGGCTCGGGGGTGTGTAGAGGCCAGAAATGCCTTCCTGCTCCAAGAGAGCACTGATATTCTGTGTATAGGGGAGGGGTTGTGGGCAAGAGGGAAAGCACAGGGTCCAATGACCTGGTCCCAGTGAGCACTTTTGAGTTTTATGATTTGTCACCTTCTGCTCAAGAGCACCAGAGAATACAGCCTTTGCTGGATCCCACAGCACTCAGATGTTTCCTCTTTCAAATTTCAAAATTATCACCATCAGACATATAAATTTGGAGAAAGAAGAAAATCATTTTAACACAATTGTATTAGATGTAGACTGACTAATAGTAACTGCCCATAAGTAACTGCAGAGACGGCTGCAGAATGTCAGGGGTCTGAAACATTTCTTATATCCGGACAGGTCATAACTGTAGTCATCACACCTATATTATTTTTTTTTCTTTTCATTTATTTTTATTAGTTGGAGGCTAATTACTTCACAACATTTCAGTGGGTTTTGTCATACATTGACATGAATCAGCCATGGAGTTACATGTATTCCCCATCCCGATCCCCGCTCCCACCTCCCTCTCCACCCGATTCCTCTGGGTCTTCCCAGTGCACCAGGCCCGAGCACTTGTCTCATGCATCCCACCTGGGCTGGTGATCTGTTTCACTATAGATAATATACATGCTGTTCTTTCGAAACATCCCACCCTCGCCTTCTTCCACAGAGTCCAAAAATCTGTTCTGTACATCTGTGTCTCTTTTTCTGTTTTGCATATAGGGTTATCATTACCATCTTTCTAAATTCCATATATATGTGTTAGTATGCTGTAATGTTCTTTATCTTTCTGGCTTACTTCACTCTGTAT